AATTACCAAAATTTGGATGATTTTGAATATTCACTTGAAAAGTTATCAAAGAAAAACATTTTTCATTTTGTAACTTCGAGGGCCCGTAACTTGGTTACGAAGACTTTTAGGAAAAAAAGTTATATGAAGTACTGGTGATATTTTGACCCCATCTATACATTCCCGAGAGGAAAAGGAGAAGTCCAGGGACACCCTGTATACTTTGGATTCGTTTGGGTCATCCAAAGTGCATGCATATTATGACGAAAATATGCGAATGTCCAATAAATGAAGCACCAGGATCCCACGACGTTCTTCCATTTCACGTGAAGAAGAATCTGTATCGAATTTCTTTCAGTTGCGGAGCTTTCCAATTTCCATTGAAGTTGGGAAAAGTCATACCGTAATTCAGAAAACAATCCTCTATTGAACGTTATCGACCCAGCACATTTACACAGTGACGGCTCGTGCATTGGAGAACAGGGGAGGCTTAAGTTATATAGACTATATACACACAGAAAGGCCCGCCGGAGGCGCGAAAATTTTTATGTTGTTGCACGCTTTGCCTAATACTGAAGTTAGGGCATGGGCATGACAATGCGTAAAAAGTGCCTGAGGAGCTATGGACTTTAATTTAGTTTGTAAACCATTTAAATGGCCGGCCATGACCGCAGCCCCATCATAGGTTTGCGCAATTAACTTTTGCCTAGAATTATAGGTGTCACACGTACGAATTATAAAATTAAACAAATCGTCAGCTGTGCGCCCAGATGAAACATCATGAAAACCCATAAAACGTTCTACCACATTACCATCTTTGACGTATCTAAAAACGATTGAAAGTTGTGATGTACAGGTGATATCGGTAGTTTCATCAATTTCCCATGCAAAAAAGGAACACTTTCAATCTCCTTGCTTATATTTTCCTTAATAATATATGCCACACTGTCTATAATAAGCTCATTTTGGATGGTATTTGAGGTGCCCGAAAAAACGCTACCGTTTAAAAAAGTGCCAAATTGTGAATCATATTTGCCCCATAACACGAGGTAAATTTTTTAAATCAGATGATCCTATATTAGACCACGTTTGGTATTCGGTTTGTATGGAAAATAAAAAACAGGGCCAACAAAAAAAAAATTTCTCGTTTAATAGAGCCGGTTAACCAATTGCATTTATCGTACCAACTTATATTAAATTCTCGATTTTGTCGATTATCTGACGATTTAATTGAAATCAAATTTGGTTGAGGCCTTCTCAGAGTTATAATAATGTAAAATTTATTATCATAAGATAAAGACTTAAAATTATTTGTCAGCAACCAATCGAATATATCGTCAGCTTTTTTAATTTCGTCCAACGTATCGATAAAAAGTGAAAATTGATCGTCCGTCCTTGCGGTTCGAATTACCGGTTCACACAGCGGTCGATTGAGTCAGTGGAGCAAACCACCACCCACGTCAATCCACCAGGCTACCGTCTTCCACTTTTATGTTTCGAATTTTTTCACAAATTCAAATTTTTATCCGTATCCGTATGATTAGCATGAGGAAAATAATCAAATCAAGTATAATTTTAGTAACGCTCTATTGTTTCCTTCAACTCTCAAACACGTGTGTTCCTAATTCGAGAAATACAGCGCTATTACTTTTGAACGTAACACAGTATCTTTTGATAGATTTCAATAAAATATTACTTTCAATGATGAGATAACTCAGAAAAATCATCGCAAAAAATCCTATGATGACCCTACTCTTCAAACTGATAAGGACAAACGGAATAACTCTTATCTCATCATATAAATTCTATGTCGCTTCGTTTCATTATTTCGAGATAAAACTACGTGGTGCAGATATCTCTATTTCTCAATGCCGTCTTCCTCATACGGATTAATAGATGTCTATCAAGATTCGTATTCGCAATTCGTAAAATAATTTCTGCAACCTTCAAATGTCAACGGTGACTTATTTCTATTGTTATTCATTACGGAACACGCGATTGCTAGAAACTAAAACATACTGTGTATGACTTATAACATCGCAAAGTCCAGAAGATTGTTTTCTTGTCTTTCTGTAGCGATTCTTCAAAAACTTCGGACTATTTTGTGTTTCGTTCAGTGTTTGTGTGCGGTAAATGAATAGTTTGTGGACAAAATTGGATCGTATCTATTCGAGGATGTTCAGATCCATGCGTGAGTATAACGATGTTATAGCTCTTTATCTGATTGAATTGGTCGCGAATTGGACACGCAATAATTACAGAATTTCTTCACATACAACGAATTTTTTTCGCGACTTAGTCTGCGTGAACTACAGGCTACAACTAACTCACCCGCGTGGATACCAATCCCGTGGTTATATCTGGATCAAAAATTCCTTCTGGTCAATGTAGCTTCCTAATAGTGTTCAGCAGTTTCACAGTTCATCGATTACGGTTGACTTGACCTGGATTCTTACGTATAGATAAAATCATAAATTAGATTTTATTGGACTGATTTAAGATAGCTCCTTACGATAATTTTTTTTTGTAACGACCAATCTCACCGGTGGTTCTGCAGTTCTCCAGATGACTTTATTTTCTCAAAGGAATGATTTATTCATGGGAACATCAACGACTGAAGTTCAATTTATGGCTTTACTAAAAACAATATTGTGGAGGTTCCCCCTTTAATAGGCATATTCAACTTAATTCTATCAACTTGTGCCTTCCCTTAGCAGTGGAAAACGGCTCGAATTTGTCCGATATTAAAAAAAGGCGACTCTAGCAATATCACAAACTACAGGGCAATTTCAATTTTATGTAACTTTTCTAAATTTTTCGAGATATGTGTGCAAAATGTTATGTACTCTCATATTCAAAAAGTTATTTCTCCTACTCAGCATGGTTTCGTAGAACAAATATTATGTCTGACAAATTTTGCAAGTTTAAATCAATATCTCTGTACGTACCTGGACAAGCAAAAACAAGTCGATGCTGTTTATTCAGACTTTCAAAAAGCCTTCGATCAAATAGACTATCATGTTCTCAGCAAATTGACAAAATTGGGACTCTGTAACCAACTGCTTACTCCAATTGAATCATATCTAGTTAACAGAAAACAATTCGTCGAATATGAATCTTTCAAATCGGCTCAGTACGTAGTTACACTTGGGGTACCACAAGGTTTCAATCTTGGACCTCTTTTATTTTTACATTTTATTGATGACTGGGCAACCTCTTTTAATATTCCCAGACTACTATTTGCAGACGACCTGAAACTATACAGTGTGTAACAACGAAAACTTAACAGATCCGTTTTTGAATATAAAAAGTAAGATTTCTAAAAAAAGCTTGGAAACGTCGATTTCTAATTGAAGGGGGACACCTTTCAAACTAATCAGATTTTTTGGAATACGCACCCCCTCGTAGGGGTGCGTCCGACGACCCTTATTTAGATAGGGAAAGTAACGATTACTTTTCGAGATGATTTGAAGATCAAAAGGTATTTTTATTGAGTTCAACTATTTTTAAAATGAATCAAATTGTTTTTAAGGTACAATTTACGTTCAGAACTTACATAAAAAAAAATTTTTGCTTTTCGTGATAACCTGCTAATACGTGTCCATTTGATTTCGTAAAAAAGTAAGAATTATTTTTTTATTACGAGATTTTTTCGGGGGATGGGGTTGGTTACCCCCCTTACATTTTTGCTAAATTGAGTGGCACCTCCTTATGAAGGTTGCTTTTTGACGTGGATATTTTATGCTTCTGATAAAAAAAGTGAATCATACTAAAAACTTACCTACACCACGAATACAACCTGCTGATTTCCTTGAATGCTGATGACACATAAAAGATTAAAAAACTGTTTTAGGGTCACTAAATCCCAATAATTCTTTTTAAAGCACACACAAAAAGTAACACTTAATAAGGGTAACTCACATAGGAAATTTAGAGTAAATGTTCAAAATGTGCGCCATTTTGCTTCATGCAACAATAAAGATTTTGTTCAAATTTTGCTCTTACATTATTCAACATCTCAGGAGTTCATCAATAATTCAACGACGTAATTTTTCCAAATTGGCTGGCTGTGTAGCATACACTTTAGACTTTGAATATCCCCACATAAAGTAGTCCAGTGGTGTTAAATCTGGTGATCGTGCTGGCAATTCAATTGGACCTCTTATGCCAATCCATTGTCCTTCAAAATGATTATTCAAAAAATTTCGAACCTGCTGGGCATAATGGGGTGGTGCACCGTCATGTTGAAAATGGATAAATTCATCTTGACATCTTGGATGCTGTTCAATTATTTCAACCATACATGCTTGTATTGCCTTTTCAAGAAGTTGTTAATAAGAATCGGTTAAATTTCCTTCAATGAAAAATGGACCTATAATATGATTGCCTAATATTCTGGCCCAGACATTCAACGTTTGGGGATGTTGGGTATGTATTTCTGCGTATTGTCTTGGGTTTTCATTCGACCAATAACGGCAATTGTGACGGTTCACGCAACGATTCAAATAAAATGAGCTCTCGTCCAAAAAACAGATGTTATAAAGCAGCTCGGGATTTTGCATTAATCTCTCACTCATGCCCTCACAAAACTCCTGTCTTCGGTCAAAGTCATCCTCATTGAGTTCATGAACAAGTTTAATTTTATAGGGATGAAATTTGTGGTTTTTAAGGATTCTCCATGCGCTTATATGGCTTATTCCGGCCATTGCTGATAAACCTCTGGTACTTAACCTGGGATTGGCGATGACTTGACCAATCACTCCAATCGCATTATCGTCATTCACTACCCTTCTCTGAACATTTCTTTTCTTATTTAAAACCGAATCTGTCTCCCTGAATTTTGTGACCAAATCCAGAACGTGATTTCTGCTTTTACCAGGGTTTTGCTCGTTAAATAAAATTGATGTTCTATCAGCATTTTGGTCGTTGTCAAAAAATAAAGCAATAACTGAAACCCTTTCAGCAGTACTGTAAGGCATTTTTAAACAAATAACAATACACGACCCGTTTAAACAAAACAATCGATGTACTAATGAAAACTGGAAGAAGAGGAGTGGGTATTGATTTAAAAAAATGATTTTATTTAACAAAAAACTGATAAGAACAACTGCTCGAAATTTTTTTTATTTAGGCATACAAGTTACCGAGTGGTCTGTCTAATGTATTATTAACATGGCAATTTTAACTTCAAATTATCTCGAAAACTAATCGTTACAAAAATTTTCTTTTAACAGAGTTGTGAAGGTATTCGAAAGACCTTTAAAACAAGGTGCCACTCGACCTACTTTCCCTATCTAAATAANAATTGTGTGTGTTGTTGTTCTGTTTTTAATTTGTTACTTTAATAATTCACTTGTATGCATTACGTTTACGGTCTGTCGCAGGGGAATGGATTAGAAGCTTCTAGAAGATATGCTGAAATGTATCCTCAACGGCAGCATCCTTCACATAGAATATTTGCTCGACTTCATCAATCATCATCATCATCGAGAAGTACGAACACCACAGTCCACACCATTCAGTCCTTGTCAGGTGGACAGGTCACTGGGAGACATCTCCTTTATATTGGCAGGTGTAGGCCAAGAATCGCCGAACACACACTCTCTTATCGGCAATAACTCCGGGCACTCGCATAGGGCATGCCTGAAAGATGTGGGACTAATTGGTCGGAATGCTTTTGGTAAGGTGTAGTCCATCCTACCTGGTTTGGGTATAAATACTACTCGTACTTCTCTCTACTTACTGGGAATATACCTCAGAGATAGAGAAGCTCTGAATATTCCAACCAGGTGTCCGTGATCTGCAGGTATTTATGCCTAAGGATGGCGGCATGAAGGTCCTTAGACATCAGTGCCGCCCTCCACGGTGACGACATGCCTGGCTGGGGTGAGTGGATGAGAAAATTGTTCATCCGTCAACGGGGGACATGAGAGTGTCGGGGCCTTCTGTATCGGGAGGGGTCGCCTACAGCATAGTCTATAGCTTTCCTAACTAACAGAACTACGATGCTCGTATTTGACCCTGGTTTTATCTCTTAATGGGATTATCTGTCCTTGTTTGTGTACCACGACAATCAAACTAAAATGAGGAGGAGCGCCATCATGCATAAACCACATATCTCTTCGGGTTTGCAATTGAACATGTTCCAAAAGTCCATTCAAATCGTTCTGAATGAACTCCAAATAACGTTCTCCATTCAATCGGTCCTGTAGAACGAATGGTCCTATAAGATGGTTTCCTATGATACCAGCCNTGGCGAAGAAGGTAGAGCTGAGTTGACAATTTTTTGTACAGAAGTCAATATGATTTTCCCATTTGAGAGAGTCGTCAATAATTACATCTAATAATTTTTCGTGCTTCTGTGTGGTTACCCTATTATTTGTAGATATAATTGTTTTTTGAGTTCTGTCCGTATTTAATTTCAAATTATTGAAAGTAAACCAGTTTACAGCCTTTTCTTCAATTTCATTGGTCTTGTAGGGTAATTCACTTATGTCAGAGTTAGAGTGAATCATTGTTGTATCATCAGCAAAACAGATGACTGTGCTAGGTAGTAGGCTTTGAAAAATATCATTCACATATATTACAAAAAGTATAGGTCCAAGGATTGACCCCTGAGGAATGCCATGGGATGTACCTGAGTATAAAACTTACTTATTTGACGTGCAATGTGAGGGTATCAATCACACACCATAATCATAAATTCTCGAAGAATTATCGAATGTCAGTCGCAATTGTAGACCCGATGGCTTATGAATTACATGGATATCTACATTGTGTGATAAAAAAGCTTTTAGTGTATCGCCAATCCATTTATACACCAAAAATGTTCCGATAATGATTTTATTTATGGATCGAATATCAAATTAACGGGTCATTATCATTGTTGTTCATTTGCTTTTGTTTGAGAAGTCTCTTTCGCAATTCAGCATACTAGGCGGTTATCGTATGGTGGACGCTTACGAAACATTCCTCTTTTGGTACAAGAGCTAGACGCAAAAATCACCCGGTCTTTCCTTTGCACAAACTTTCATTTAACTTGTAATTTCAAACCATCGTTCTACGTGTGAGTTGCCCTTAGATTGAATGTTTACTAATATTCACTGCGGAAATAATATGCTGATTGCACTTAAGATATTTTCGCCGATAACACTCCAAAAATAACAAGAATAATTCTCAATGTTTATCAAC